TCATGGGCACACGGCAGACAAAACAAGGCCCTCTCCTTGCAACGATCGTCATAAACCATACGCCAATCCATATGTATGACCAAGTGGGACGATGACCCGCGAATCACACCCAGATGGCGCGCCAATAGGCTGGGCGGCTCTCGTCTTAGACATCAGCCGCCATCCCGACGAGGGGCTGAAGCTCAGATCCACCCCAGTAGAAGTCAGGAGCAGCAGAAGGCTGTTTGGCGGGATTTCCAATGTCGTCACCGAACTTCTAGTTCTGGGGAAGATTCTGGATCCCGCCCTCTGGGGGGAGATTCCAGCCCGCCTCGACCAACTGATCCTTGGCCTGGAAGAGGAAGCGGTAGGCCGTTTTGATGGTGCCGTCGCTGACACCGGCTGTTTGCGCAATCTCCTTGGACGACTTGGGGTCGGCGATGAGGTAGGACGCCATGTAGATACAGGCAGCCGCCACCGACAGGGGCGATCGGCCGGCGAGATCGGCGACCATGGAGCTCTTCTCGGCCAGGCGCCTCGAGATCTTCTCGGCGAAGTAGTGCTGCTTGAAGCCGAGGCTCGCGCAGTAGCGGGTGCACAGCTCTTCGGCGCCGGTGGGTCCCTTGGCATCCTCGTCGGCGTTGTTGCTGAGGCCGTTCTTAGTGGCCTCGGGGTTGCGCTTGACGAATTCCTCGAGACTCTTGTAGACCCTACCAATTTCCTTCTTGGACACGGACGTGAGAGCATGGATCTCTCGGAACGTCCGGCCGACGTTGTTGGCTCGGCAGGCGATGAAGATGCAGCCTGCGACGACGGCCTCGGGCGATTTGCCCTTGAGGAACTTGGCATCGTCAACCATCTTGAAGAGATGGCGCGCGTAGTCGAGGACAGGCTTGCCACCCGACAGTTTATCGACATGCTCGCTGATCTTGGCAAAGCTCGCTTGAAGCCCTGCCTGGCCGCGATCATTCTGTGTCTTCTTGTTCGCGTTGTTGAGGCGACCGATGGTCCTGCCGCTGGCGTTTTGGCCGCGGCTGGTGTCGATCTTGGTCTCGAGCGAGTTGTCGTTCCAGATCGGGTCGCCGGCATCACCGACACGCGACGGGTCGTCGCCTCCCTCGTCGTTGGCGAACGTACGCCACTCGGAGCGGGTGTCGACGATACGATCACCCACGACAAGACCACACTGCGAGCAGATCAGGTCTCCAGACGAGAACTCCTCAATCAGAGCAGTGGGTGCGTCGCAGTCCTTGCACTGGACGATGTTGTTCAGATCAGCCTCGTAGGGCGACACGTCTGGTCCACCGCCGGCTGTCGCCATCTTTGCGCCTGTGCCCGATTTCTTGGCGGACGGAGTGTTGCAAAGTTCGCGGGGAGCCTGTCGGGTTCGCTTGCTCCTGTTCCTGCGCGAGGTCCTGAGGTCTCTGCGCTTCTTTACGATCGCCGTGCGGATGCGCGGGCTTGGAATGCTTGTCTTTGTATTGAGGACGGTTGTAGCAAGTGCGCAGAAGAGCGGCGAATGCGTCTTTGCGACGGGCTGGGTCGTCGAGGCCGACGACCGTTGGTCTTGAAGTAACGTGAAAGAGATAGCAGTCAAAACGAATTTGGCGGTGGCACGGCGAGAAGCAGACAAAGGCAGATTCCGGAATTTGCAGTGGCCGATTGAAAGAGCGTGTTTCGGCAGACGCAAGAAAGCTACGAAGCGAAGACAATGGGAAAAGCGGCCAGCGAAGAAAGCGTTGCTCCGTCTGCGGCCGCCCAAAGGTTCTCAAAAGCGCACACTAAATGGTTGTCGGGCGATGCTTTCGGAGAAAGATGGTACGCCTTTGCTTCCTCGCCTCGTGCGCAGAGAATGGCCAGACCTTTGGGAGAGCGCAGAGTTGCCAGAAGCACCGGGCGGAAATCGTCAAGGCTACCGTTCGTGAAAGTGGCCCGCAACTTTGAGAGACTGGTAAAACGAGAGTCTCGACGATGACCTCGACGGCGAACAGCGCGTGGAACGGATGGAGGATGAACGAGAGATGGTGGCCGACAAGCACGGTCGGAGCGGAACGTGCAAGAAATCCAGATTTACGAGCCCAGGCAGCACAATTTTGGGCGTGAAGTCAGTCCATGTGGCCACTGCTGCTGACTCAGCTGTCAAGAACAAAGGAAAAAAATACTTCGGCAGATCCCGAAGGAACTGGAGGCTTCTGCTAAATGGCGCCTGCGCAAGCAATCCGAGTGAACTGTATGCAGCCCGTTCAAAAGCAGCCTTCCACAAAACGACAAGCAAAAGAAAAACGGCGGTAAAGTTGAATGGAGTATTGTGATTTTGAAGGGTTTGCTCGACCTCTTTATATCCGTCTGTGCCACCGAGAATGAATCACAGCATCTTGGCCAAGCCTCGGGCACTCTGGCACAGCCCCTAACAAGGCGTTCATGGGTATTAATCCTGGTAATTAAACTGCAGATGTCTTTTTACACTACTTCGCCTGATGGACTGTGATGTTTGGGATTTCGCTCTTCGGCCTGTCCCTCCAAGCCACTCTGGTTCCTGCATCCTCTTTGGGCTGCTCGTTTACACGCGTCCCAGCCGCAGCGTGGGGCAGGAGCGGCGGCAAGTCCTGGGTTGGCAGGGAGCATTGGCTGGAAGAGCGGGATCGCGTCACCGTCCTCTCCGGCAGCGAGAGGTCCTGGTATGGTGACTGCCTGGCAAAGGCTGGGTGGACTGCGGGGTGGACCTCCCCAGAGTATGATCTCTCCATCTGGACTCTCGCCTCGAATTCCTTCCAGTCGTCCCGCAGCCCGCCGCTGACCCTCTTGTTGTTGTTACTGTTCGCCGGCAGATCGCCCTCGCCGTCAGAGTCCGATTCTTCGCCGCTCTTGTCGTTGATGGAAGGCGCAAGCATGCTGGTGAGCGAGGAGATACTCTCGTCTCGCGAGTGCGCGCTGGCTCTGCTCGACCGCTCAGCGAGCGACTTGCGGATAATCATGGCCCGCTGCTCCTCCTCTTCGCTTCTTTTCTCAAAATGGCCGGATTTCCTGTTCCTCCTGAAGTTGATGCGCGGGCTGCACGGGCTGTCTGTCGTCGGGATTTGCTGTCGGCGGCTCTGTCGGCGGCGGAGGACGTGTCTGACCGCAAACACGAGGACCAGGCTTATGAGAATCGTAGCAGAGATGATGGGTGCTATCATCCAAGCTGCACCCGGTTGAGATGCATTTTGGCTGCTTGACGGGGATCCATCGCGCGGCCAGAGATGTAGCGAGGGCGGTGGCATGACAAAAAAAATGTACTGTCACCTGCGTGATCCGTCCAATATTGCGTGAGATGCACCGCAGGGCAGATATGACAACCTAGTAAGACGTAGTGTATATCGTGAATGCTAGGATGAAGAATCAACCCGCATATGGCAAACGAGCGACAGAGCTGATATACAAAGGATTATTATTCCGATGTACAGAGGGAGAGAGGAAAGCGAGAGCCACTCCTCATTAGTCCGAGAACGATGCGCCGCCCCCGCATTATAAACTTAAAGCACTGCCATTTTGATGTGATGTGATGTGTTGCTGCGAACGCCCGAGGCAGCGAGTGCATCGCCTCGAACAGGGGAGTCTCGGCAGTCCGATTGTGTGCCTGTCGGCTCTTGAGAGTGCTATTATTGGTGTAGTGCTCGATAGTGGCTCGAGAAAACAGGGACGAGCCAACGCCAACAGCACAGCTGGTGCGGATCACCGACGGGAAGGGACTCTTTGCCCTTTGCCCTCAATTGGGTGGCGGAGGCGTGGAGGGTAGCAGCGTAGGATTTTCCGAGCGGCGCAGCAGACGCGCAGCACATATGGGCCTGGCAGACTTTCATTTTGCCAAAACGCTGCCGCGTGACCAATCAGTGGAAATCCCCCAATTCCTCGTATCTGCCATCCTGCGCGTCGAGTGACGACAATCTTGCGCGGTGACGATGGTTGCTTCGAGGTCATGTTCCCAAGCCGCCCGAGTAGCATCTCGCCAGTTGGGTAACGGCTTAAATGATCGACCTCCAGCTATACACCAACCGCCCTCCTGCCTGCCGTGTCCCTCGACCAATGTGTTACGCTATCTAAACCGAATACATAGATACCTACCAGGCATCTCGGTGGCTTGGAAGTGGATTGCGGCGCGGGCAAACATTGGCGGTTAGGTCGTTGTACCGAGATTGCGCATCTGCTCCAGTGTGCAGCGAGCGAGAATTTATTTGGTAGCAGCGGCCAAGAAGCGGCGCAGCACCGGCAAGACCCTTACCGAAGGGAAAGCGGGTACTGTGTCTATCAGCTTGGTTTGAAGATGCCCGAGACCCTTTGCACGTCGAATAGCAGCCTACATCCCTTTAACTACGATTGCAGCCTTCGGGCGGGATTGGGTGGGGTTCCGAGTGCTCTTGTTCCGTCGTGTCCGTTTCATGCTGTTGTGCACGGAATTCGCAGCTACGAGAATCAGCCTGGCCGTGCGGTCCGAATCGCTGCGCCTCCGCGACCAACACTGGCACTTGGCACCCTTGCGCCAACAGCACTGGCTGGCTCACCCACCCCCACAAGCCACGAGGCAGTGAGCTAATGTAGCCAACATGGATGCTCTGCGCTGCATGCTAAACACTATTGGGCGTTGAGGGAGGCCAGGCAGCGAGGCTAGAGTTAATTATATCCGTCGGTTTGGGGTGCGCAGAATTGCCTGGGCTTGCTCGGGAGACAATCTACCGCATTACCAACGCCACTGGCGCGAGCTGGGGAGGCCAAACCTTTGCAGCTTTCTGCCTGGTGTATATGGTGACTCACCCGCGTTCCTCAGCACAAATCTCACTTGAGGGTCCACATATGGAAGCAACGTGACGCAAGGGGAACGCGCCAGGCTTATCCCTTTGACTCCCAAGCTCCCGAAGAGGAAAGGGATCCCAGATTAATCCTCGAGAAAACAAAAGTGATTCGGCCAAAGGGAAAGCCGTGTAGACAAGGGCTCAGCAAGGGATAACCCAAACTCCTCGGCACAACTCCCACACAAAGCTCATACAAGCAACTTGGCGCAGGGGAAGCGCGCCGGGCTCATACTAGGGGATAAACTCCTATATTCTGGTACCCGGAGGTCCTTGGATCGAAACCAAGAGTTGCTAGTAACCTTTTGCATGCAAGAGTCTTTAGATCGAGCATATTTCTGGCTCTTTGGATCGAGACCAAGAGTCACTAAGTAAGTTTTTGTTTGAAGGAGTCTTTGAATCGGAACCAAAAGTTGCTAGGTTGCTTTTGCTAGATGGAGCGTGAGGAGATGCTTGAATCCGGATGGGAGTCGAAAGTTGCTGGGCTACTGTTTGCTTGCATAGAAGCCAGTCGGGTCTTTGGATCCGGGAGTTGCTGTGCTAGTTAATTTTTTCCTTGGACGGAAGCGAGGGTGGCCGGTAAACTTTGAGAATCGTGTTAAAACTGACTGTGGTTATATCTATCATGTTCTCGACAACCTCTTTAGCTGGTGGTCGACGTTTTCTTCTTCCTGTTTGATCCCCATCCATTTGTTGTTGCCCGATGCGGACCCGTTGCATTTTTTTTCTGGGGCAGCGGAGCCCGGAGCCCCACTATCGCGTGTGCTGGTCAATTGCCTGCCACTCTTTGCGACACCTGGGCACCCAGCACCATTCCAACTTATACCAATCAAGTTCTCGACAACCTTTTTAGCTGGTGGTTGTTTTTGTTCCTTTCCCTATTTCCTTTCTTATTCTATTTCCTTTCTTATTCTATTTCCTTTTCTATCCTATTTCCTCTCCTTTTTTTTTTTTCTTGCTTGCGTGCGCCCCTCGCCCTTGTTTTTCTGGGCCGCAGAGTTGGGAAGGAGCGAGCCCCAGAGCCCCACCTGACCTCGCTTTTCTCAACCTCAAATCTCTGCGGGTGACGGCACTGGGTTCCATTGACTTCCACTCGCGACTCAGCCCGAGAGATGAGGCAGCATGTGCGGCATCCATCTTGCCATTCAGCCTGCCTCCTCGGCCCTGCACCCAATCGACAGCCTGCTCAGGCGCCGGCTGCGCAACCGCGGACCTGATCACATCGGCCACGTCGAGGCGCGCTTCGCCGACGCGATCTTGGCCTTCACCTCGACAGTTCTCGCGCTGCGAGGCTCCACCATTACCACCCAGCCATTCCATCACACATCTTCCGGCTCGGTCCTCTGCTGGAACGGCGAGGCCTGGAAGATCGATGGCCGCAATGTCCACGGGAACGATGGCGCGGAGCTGTTTGCCCTTTTTAACCAGCCAGACACAGATATCCTCGACACCATCCGCGCCATCGAGGGTCCGTTCGCGCTCGTTCTTTTTGACAAGCCCTCTGGCCAGCTCTTCTATGCGCGAGACCGCCTCGGTCGCCGTTCTCTGGTGACGAGGCGTGACGAGGCTGATGGCTCGCTTCGTCTTTCGAGCATTCCTGAAGAACCCGACCCTTCTTGGGTAGAGGTAGAGGCTGACGGGATATACGTTCTTGACCTCAACATGCTCTTCTCCCCTTCTGCTCCCGCACCAGTACGGCATCCCTGGGTTGCAGTCCCAGACTTGAGCCAAGGGATGTCCGGGATTGGCGTGTTCAACATTCAGATACCTCAAGATTCGGATTCTGAGCCGTCGGCCTGGCCGGAGGCTGCTGCGGTCCCGGCGCTGCGGAATCTCTTGACGGAATCGCTTCGTCTTCGCATACTAGGTGTCCCAGAACCGCCTTCGACTGACCAGGGTATCGACACGAGGGTCGCCGTCCTATTTTCCGGCGGCCTGGACTGTACCGTTCTGGCCAGACTGTGCCATGATTTGTTGCCGGCCACACAGGGGATGGATCTTCTCAATGTGGCCTTTGAGAACCCTCGCATCGCCTCTCAAACAGAGAAGCGTGATGCACAGGACCTGGATAGCCTTTACGAGGCTTGCCCGGACAGGGTTACTGGAAGGAAGTCCTTTGCGGAACTCCTCCGGGTCTGCCCAGAGCGAGCCTGGCGGTTCATTGCTGTGGGTGTCGGCGGTCCCCTGAGTGTGCTGCTAGCGGCTAACATGCAACAGATTGACATCCCATTTGCAGAGGCAACTGCCCATAGATACAAGGTGATCTCACTGATGCACCCACACAACACGGAGATGGATTTGTCCATTGCGTACGCGCTCTACTTTGCGGCTCGCGGCGAGGGCAAGTGCAACATAGCCGAGGAGGCCGGCTTGCGAAGCCGAAATAATTGCTCTACGCCTGCCCGCATTCTACTTTCGGGCCTCGGCGCCGACGAGCTGTTCGGCGGCTATGTACGTCATGCGACAGCTTATTCTCGGCGAGGCTACCAGGGCCTGCTGGAGGAGCTTTTGCTAGATGTGGGAAGACTTGGAAAGCGCAACCTGGGCCGAGACGACAGGGTCATGGGAAACTGGGGAAGGGAAGTCCGCTTCCCATTTCTGGACGAGCGGCTCGTTCGATGGGCCGTGGAACTGCCGGTTTGGCAGAAATGCGACTTCGGCAGGGCAGGAACGCCGCACCCTGGTGATGATTCCGATATCGAGCCTGCAAAAAGGGTGCTGCGGTTGCTGGCAATGACTTTGGGAATGACCAGTGTCGCGCGGGAGAAGAAACGGGCGGTAAGCACAACGCCCGACTGAGCCCTTGTGAGAAGGCTTCCATGAGGAATTGCACCGCTGACTGCGCGACTAGATACAATTCGGTTCGCGGACAGCCAAGATGGAGAGCAGCAAGGTCAAAGGCACTACCCTCATCTCGTTGTAGCCGTTTCCCGCCGGCTGGCTGTCGATCCCGTTTTGTGACGCACACAAAGCTCCCCTGCTCCCGAGATCCCGGCGATGATGACAGAAATAAGAATCAGATACTTCCGAGCCGGGGGGTTAAAACAGACACGGGCTGTTCGGCATATCTGCAACTGTGTGTCTCGGCCCGCCTCGGCGTGTCGAAACCCTTTGCTGACTGTCGCACGAGCACCGGTCGAGCCACCGCAGAGCTGTGACGAAGTTAAAGGCAAGTCTGAGCCGGCATATAATAGCGACGCTCTGTGCGCGACCACATCCCATAATTCTTCTTTGCCCTAGACGATTGCTCGTGGCGGGTATGTTTAGATGACACGAACTTTTCACCATATCTACCACCTACCTATTCATGTGTTTGGCCGGTCGAGTGATCAGTTGCCGGCGTTATACTTTATTGTTTGTTTGGGGAAGCCTGGGTCGCTCTGCTCTGGAGACAGCCTTGTTGACGCAATGGCGTTTCCTCCTCGAGCCAGCACACATGTTCCTGCGTGCACAGCCCGGCCGGTGTCACGGCTGCCGCGCCGGATCTCCCCGATGGCGGAGCACAAGGCGCTCGTTTATCTTGTGGGCACGTCACACACTATGTACACACACAAGCCCGCTTTGCCCAAGTTCCGTGCCGGCAAGAGTTGTGTTCTCAATCCCAACCACTCAGATTTGAGCTTCAACAGGACGTGCAGCAGCGCCAGAAGTGCCGAGCGGCATGGCAACGCGGGACGGGAGACTAGGCGTCACATTTGTCTCATCTGGTGGTATTGGGTATTGGCTATACGATAGGAGGGGCGCCGGGAGTGTCGGAGCATTTCCTTGGCTGGGCGCACTGACCCACGGGCTCCCATCGCTGCACTGCACTGTGTGTTTGATTTCCTCGTGTTGGCTTGTGTGGGCTTGCGTCCGGGCCGGCGGTTCTGCTCGCTCGCTACTGCAGCGACATGTCGGTGGGTGTTGTTTTTATTGCAAGTTGCTCGATACCAAACTTGTTCTTATCTGGTTACTTGTTATTTTTTTCTGGGCCCGTTGGTCGAGCCGCGGTTGTTTTACATTGGCCACGCATTCCCTGCCGCGTCGGCAAACGCCGTCATGTGCCTTGATTGCCCCAGTTAACCCCTGTCTACTGGAGCTCTCTACTCCACCGGGATGTGCTTTCAGTGGCCCCTGGGATCACCGATCTGATGCACGAGCTTGCAGCTCTAGCGGATCGGCAGCCCCGGGGCTCGAGCCTTCTTGCTCCGACTCTAAAGACGTTCGAGACCAGCCCGACCTGGATCCTTCGACCACTTTAGCTGCCCGTTCCAACATGCGCCTGCCCGCCGCCATGTCACCCACGCTCTCTATCGGCGCCCTTTAGGCTTTGGGCCGGCATGGGATGAGACTTGAGGGGTGATTTCTGCCCAGCCTGTGCGGCCGTTTTTCTTTGTCGTCTGGCCGTCTCTTCTCGCCCTGCCGTCCGAGATAAGGCGGCCTGGTCTACCCACAACATAAACGCCGAACCACGCCCCCCTCCCACTTGGGTCTCCTCGTCCCAAAGCCAGCCCCTGCCGTTGCCTTGGACGCCAACTGCCCCTCGTTTTATATCCGCCTTGGTGACCCCACTGCACGCCCTTCACACGCCGCACATGTAGCCGCTCGTTGCTCCATCCGGCTGAGGCAAGCTTCCACCACGGCTGTCTTATGTCTCGTCTGTAGCTGGAGATATCGTTGAATGCGCCTGCGCCTGCCCACTGCCTGCCTGACGCGGTCCACACGCATTCAACAAAAAGGGTGGCAGCCAGCAACTGTGCCGCCAACCCTTTCGTCTCCGTCATCTTTGAGATTCCGTCCGCATTCTAGAAGCCCCCAGCTCTGTCGCAAAAAAAATAAAAAAAATCGCAACATCATGTTACAATCAAGTTTGCTGCCCCTCACCAGGACGATGAGTGAGCCCTCGGTTCGTGCCCGGACTCCCCCTGAGCGCCATGACGACACCCAGTCGACCGCGACCACGATTTTCCCCCCTTCCGAAGACCCTACGATGCCCGCCACCGCAGGCGCTCCCATGACGCCGTGTCTCACGCCGATAGAATACCCCCACCCAGGGAGGCCAGTTTCCTTCTCCAACCGCCCGGTAAGCGGGAGCGGCGCTCGAACTTCTCGCTTCATCGAAACGCCTCTGTTCGAATACACGCCGGCCAACTCCATCTATGAGGAGGACGGCAGCGGCGCCTCCCGATCCGAATCGCAGGAGCGGCGGGCCTCGGCCGTCCGACTGGTCCTCCGCCTCACCGAGAGCGTGTCACACCTCGCCGTCGTAGTGATGCTGCTGGCTATCATGTCTTCGTTTCTCGCCACCTCGTCGAGGT